GGGGCTATGGGTTGGAATGTGGGTTAAGGAGCGGGGCTGTGGGCGGGGCTATGAGGGGGCGGGGCTACAGGGAGGGGGCGTGGCTACGGGGAGGGGGCGTGGCCAGGCACCTGCTGGCGCAGCAGGTCGTTGTCCATCTGCAGGCGTTCCGCCTCCTTGAAGGTTTCCTGCAGGCGCTGGTTGCTCTGTCGCAGCTCCCGCACGTAATCGCAGGCTTTCGAGAGGATCCCGCCTTTGCTCTGGGGTCGGGGGGGGGAGATGCTGAGCGTGGGGTTTTTTTTAGGGGGTCCCGTGCAACCAAGTTCCACGGGAATGATAAAAAAATCGCAGGGTACCCCAGAGTTTTTTCGTAGAGAACAACCAGGGATCCCAAATGCCACCCAGGGATCCTAATTGCTCACACAGGGATCCTAAACGCCACCCAGGGATCCCAAACGCCACCCAGGGATCCTAAATGCCCACCCAAGGATCACAAACGCCACCCAGGGATCCCAAACGCCCACCCACGGATCCCAAATGCCCACCCAGGGGTCCCAAATGCCCACCCAGGGGTCCTAAGCACCCACCCAGGGGTCCCAATCACCCCTCACAGGACCACAGAACGCTCCTGGAAACCTCTCCAATGTAACTCGGCACCCCAAACCCCTCAGGAGTTCCCAAGCTCCAGGTCTAGCAGCCCAAATGCTTCTCCAACAGCTTTTGGGACCCCAAACACAACTCCCAGGGACCCCAAATACCCCTTCCAGGAGCCACAGAGCCCCCTGAGGGCTCCCCACAGCCACCCAGGGACCCTATCCATGCCCCCCTCCTCCCCATTTCTACCCCCCACCCCCATTTCGACCCCCCTCCCCCCCATCCCTGCCACCCACCCCCATTTCTACCCCCTCCCCCGTTTCTACCCCTCACCCCCAACCATTCCCCTCCTCCCCCCATTTCTACCCCCCACCCTCATTTCTATCTCTCTCCCCCATTTCTCTCCCTCACCCCCACTTCCCCCCCTATTCCTACCCCCCACCTTCTCCCCTACCCCATTAACCCCCCCGTTGGGGGGCCCCAACAGACCCCACAAACGCCATCTCTAGGGACCTCCCAAGACCCCCAGATACCTTGAGCAGCTCCAATCACCCCCAACCCCTACAGACGCCCCCTCCCCTCACCGCCCCGGTCTTGCTGTTGTCAGCGTTGCAGTCGGGGATGATTTTGGACAGCTGCACGATCCAGTTGTTGATTTTATCCCTCCTGCGCCTCTCCACTATGAGAACACATTGGGGGGGGAGAGAGAATTGAGGGGGGCATCACCCCCCAAAACCCCACAGCCACCCCCCCCATCCACCCCATTTCCCAAGGGACTACAACTCCCATGATGCACCGGGGTGGCGCCGACACTGCTGCCCTCCCACCATGCATTGCTGCGCTGCTGAACTACATTTCTCAGCATGCCTTGCAGCGCAGGCTCTGTTTGGGGGGGGGGGGCTG